CGTCTTCTTTCCGTATGGGTGGCCGCGCAGCTCTGGGGTGAGTGTTCTGGCGGCCCAGCTGAATGTCGGGCGGAGGCGTGGTTGAGCCCCCTCATGCTCCCCGGGCGTTCGCGGCCCCAAGCTCTGGTCCCTGGCCGTGGTGATGGACCCAGTCTGCGCGGGCGGCTGGGACCCGGTTATCCGGCCTTGGCGCGACTTCCGGCCAGCCACCTCCGACCGGAAATAACGCCGCGGTGCGTGTTCATCTGGGGCAGCGGGAGCCCAAACCGCTTTCTGGTCCCGGCTGTGCTGGCCAGCGACGTAGCATCGGCTTCTCGGACTTTGTGTTAGACCCCAGCGCACAGGGTGAGCTGGGCCCTGTTTGAACTCGGTTAAAATACAGGAGTCGTTTTTTTTTTTTGACAGAGAGTCGGGGTAAATACCTGTCGGGCGCTTTGAGCGTTGATATAGTCAAGCTGGAAAACGTGTGTGAAGTATTGAGCAGTCCAGATGTAAAAGCTTGTCATGATTCCCACACTGCGTCTATCTCCACTGCTGTGATCTTGCTCCAGGCTACCCTCATTTTTCTCCTGAGCGTTTCCCATCATTCCCTTGTTGCGCTGTTTTCTCCAATCCATTATCCACTCAGTAGTCCAAGTGTCTTTGACAAACATGAAGTAGACCATGCCATCATCATACTACTTAAAACTCTTCAAAGTCATTCCATTACATTTGAGTAAAATTCATGCTCGTGTTTTCCCAGACCTTGTGTGATCTGGCCCTTGCCTACGCCACAGAACTCTGCATGGGTACCACCACCCCTTCCTAACCAGCATCCAACTTGCCCCAGCTGCAGACACCCCGGGGCAGAAGGGGGAGGACAGTGGAGATACTGTTTTTTCCAGATGGTTAAGCCTTAGAAGATACTTTGTAAGATTTACACAATGGAGTCCTTATTGGCTGCTGCTGCTGCTTGTTGTTTTTTTGAGTCAGAGTCTCACTCTGTTGTCCAGGCTAGAGTATGGTGGTACGTACTGCCACTGCAGCTTCGACCTGCTGGGCTCAAGTGAGCCTTCCACCTTAGCCTTCCAGGTAGCTGGAACTATAGACGCAAGCCACAATGCCCGTCTAATTTTTTTATTTACTGTAGAGTCGAAGTCTAGCCAAGTCCCCAGGCTCTCTCCAATCCCTGGGCTCAGGCAGTCCTTTAGTCTCCACCTCCCAAAGTGCTGGAATTACTGGCGTGAGCTGCCACTTCTGACCCTTTTCTTCCGTTTTTAGTCCCTTTCTGGATTTTTTTTTTTAAACCTAAACAACTTGGACCCCAAGATCAGTTACTTGAACTAGTCTTTTCCTTTGCTTCTTTGACCCCATGACTCTTTTGTCCTACCACTTTTACTCTGAAAACACCCAATAGTGACATTTCCTCTGGTACTACCATTTACTGGAGGGGGAAATTGTACAGCCTTGGGAACTGTTGGTAATCCATGGTTTTCCGGGGCCAATGCCAGATAGATCCTCCACACCTATCATCAATGTCTGTTCCTCATCAACTCCCTTTTCTAGAGTCTTTATTCCAGACTCTTACTCTTCTCCATCTGCTATTCCAACTTTGTTCCCTGACTCAGAATATACCCAAACTTCTTACCTTATGGGATATTTTCTCTTTGGTTCACTTCAGCTTCCCTCCTCTGTACCTACAAATTTAGGTCTATCAGGAGTCATACTTATGCCAGAGTCAGAGAAAGACATGTTGTGCTTTCTGTTCATTTCTGCTCTGGACCTTTCCCTTCTGCTTTCTCTTGTACAACTTTCTGTGTGGGTTGTCTCCTTCCTCTCCCTCCAGCCATTACATGTTCTAGGTTTTCATGCCCTAATTATCCTTTCCTCACCCCCAACAAACCCATTATTACTTTATCAGTTTAGCTGTCTCCCTTCCACAAACTTATTAAAGGATAGACCACTTCTTTGTGGCCTCCAATTCCCCATCTCCTGCTCGTTTCATAACTTAATACAGTCTGCTTGTTGTCCCTGTTGCTTCACTGAAACTTTACACATTTACAGTGACCTGTTAGTGTGTAAATTCACTATACCCTTTCTAGTTTCCTTATGTGAACTTGCTGTATTGTTTTTCACTTTTAAACATTCCCTCTTCCTCCTGTTTTTATGATTTGAAGATTTCCCCAGTCTTTTAATCTTGTCATTGTTTTGAGTTCTATTGCTTAATATTTTTGGTTGAATTGACATATTTTTTCTTAACTTAAAAAGAAATCCTCATTTGCACATAAATAAGAAAAATGAAAGCAGTGTTGTTGAATTCCAGTTAATACAAAGGCTCTGAGTCAGAATCTTGTCCTCTCAGTTGGAAAGGGAGACTGAGCCTTTCTTGTGAAAGTTATCAAAAGGCCCCCAAAGGAGGAACTTTCTGTTGTTCACTTTTAACCTTTTCAATGTTGGCCTCTTTGTACCCTCTGAAATGATCTCTGGACCTGCCAGAGCCTTGGAAACCCTGGAGCTGCTTGCTCTGCAGATGCGTCCATGTGTCGCCCAGATTGTCCCTTGAGCTCAAATTTGCATTTCTGATTTCATGCTTCACATGGTACTGGTGGCATATAAGCAAGTCCTGACCAGACTTGCTTCCCATCTGCTTCCTTTTTGAGAGGCTCACTTTGTTGACTGAACTCACCAGTGACTCAGTTGTTCAGACCAAACTTTTTTAAATTTTAGACTCCTCTCTGAAGTTTATGTTCAGCAGATTTTGAGGACCTACTGTGTATCAGACCATAAGCCAGGTGTTCAAATCTTAGCTCCTCCATGGGTCCTAGACACAATATATTGTTCCCTCTTTTATGTTTATGTTCATGTCCCTACTTGCTTGCTGACCTGCCTGGGTTACTGACACACTTTTCCAATAGAGAGTGAGCCACTTGAGGGCAGATGATGCTAAATTCTTTGTATCCCAGACCTTGGTTGGTGGGACTGCTTTATTTAATGGGGAATGAGTGGGACTCATTGGTGGAACTTGCAGTCATTAATGGAAATAAAATTTCTGTGCTGAAAGAAACCTTAGTTTATTCGTATTTAAATAAAAAGCAGGCTGGGCATGGTGCCTCATGCTTGAAATCCCAGTACTTTGGGAGGTGGAGGCGAGAGGATTGCCTGAGTCCGGGAGTTCAAGATCAGCCTGGGCAACTTGGTGAGACCTTGTCTCTACAATAAATTAAAAAATTAACAGGGCATGGTGGTGCATGCCTGTGGTTTTAGGTACTTGGAAGCCTGAGGTGGAAGGCTTGCCAGGGCCCAGCAGGTTGAGGCTGTGATAGCCATGAGATGAGTGTGCTACTACACTCTAGCTTGGGTGATAGAGTGATACTCCGACTCAGAAAAAAACAAAAAGCAAGACTATTTCTTGGTTATTGTGTTGCTTTTAATGTATTTATTAGTTGTGATAATTATACAGGTAATATAGTGAATATTCTCTTTCAAGCACTTCCTGAGTATGAGGAATAAAATGTGTAAGTTCCCCTTTATTTCTCCCTGTTCTTTCTGCTTCCCCCTCCCAACTGTCACAGGTTTAGTATGTATCTCTCCAAATCTTTTTGTGTACATTCCACACACAGATGTGGATACACATTTCCTTCAGCATAAATGTGCTCATATATATACCGTGTGCATGATTTTTTTCATTTAACATGGCTTTTATATTGGTACCACAGAAGAAAGTTAATGACTACATTACACTTTTAAAAGCATGCTCCAGGAAGCATTCTTGCATCCATATGTGAGCATTTCTCTGGAATAAATGCCTACAACTAGAAATGCTGTGCAAATGTCATATGCATTTAAAATTCTGATGAACATTGGCTAGGCTCAGTGGCTCATGCCTATAATCCCAGCACTTGGAAGTGGAGAGGAGAGGATTACCAGAGTCCAGGAGTTCGAGACCATCCTGGGCAACTTGGTGAGACCTCATCTCTACAATAAATAAAAAATGTAGCCAGGCATGGTGGTGCATGCCTGTAGTTCCAGCTACTTTAGGCTGAGGCAGAAGGATCGCGTGCGTCCAGTGGGTCTTGGCTGCAGTAGCCGTGATGGTGCCACTGCATTCCAGCCTGGGCAACAGAGTGAGACTCTAACTCAAATAAAAAATATATAAATACATAAAATTTTGATAGACATTGCTTAATTGTCCCCCCCCAAAAGGCTTTACTAGTTTATATTCCTGTCAGCAGTTTGTGAGGGTGGATCCTCCTCCTTGTTTATATTGGGTATTATCAGGCTATACATTCTTGCCTACTTGATGGGTACGAGATGATATCATGTATTGAGATGGAGTGAATTTTGAGAATATTTTAATTAATCTTTCTGAGATTCTGATGTTCAGAGCTCATGTTTACTGAATGTTCAACCTAGAGATTTCTAGACTCAGATTCATACAGCAGCTTTTCTCTAACATCCCAATGTTTTTATACATTACAGTCGATCACACAACTGTAATATAACTTGTTTGTACTGCAATGAAATAAAGATGCTAACTTGGAAAACAGCAGCCAAATGACTTCAGCTATTTTGGAGAACATTCTATGGACCTCAGTCAGGATTTTGGTGGCTAGTTTTCTTAGCTGGCTGCCTAAATATTCTTTGTTGATGACACTGCATTTCTTTTTTTTTTTTTTTGATTAACTTTTCTTATTTTCAGACCTTTGTCCTTTTGAAAGGGGGGGGCATACCTCATCAACAAGGGTACCTGCCTAATCAACGTCTGTATAATTAACTAACTCTGAATTGTATCCCACATCTTTATAATAAAAAGAGAGGAAAAATAATAATATATTATCAGAATGCAAGAAGATATAGTTTGTGCCCTCTTATGACATTAATACGTTGAAATTTGAATTTATGTAATTTGGATGTTACTACTTGATCTTTTGAGAAATCAGTCTGCTTTAATTATAAAATATATAAGAAACTATATATGATCAATTCTGTATAACCAAAGGCTTATCAATTTTTTTTCTTTATAGTCTGTAAAGGATGCCAAATGAGAGAATTTCCCACTCAAGGCAAACTGAGGAACAAGACTGTTTACAAAGTCAATATGTCAGTAATAATGTAGAAATGACAATCAAGCAAGAAAATGGTGGTGATGTGGAGGTGGAGGAATGTCTCCCATCTTGTTCCCCTGCTGATGGGCCATCCACCTCTGCTGAGAGGTGTGCATCAGCAACTCCAAGGAGAGGGCCAGCCCTGCTGCACATCGACAGACATCAGATCCAGGCAGTGGAGCCCAGCGTGCAGGCCCTTGAACTGCAGGGTTTGGGTGTGGATGTCTATGACCAGGATGTGCTAGAGCAAGGTGTGCTTCAGCAAGTGGACCAAGCAATCCATGAGGCCAGCTGTGTGGCCCAGCTTGCTGATGTGGAGAAGGAGTATCGGTCAGTACTGGATGACCTCACGTAAGTTTGGCCCATCTTCTCTCTTTCAGACTTTATGCTTAAAAGTGATGGAGAAGTTCAGGTAATAGCTCTCGTAGTCCAGAAATTTAGGGGATTTGCTGAACCTCTTTTTGGAGGGCTGAGCCACTAAGGGCAGTTCTCAACCTCATGTTTTAGCCCTGTTCCTTGCCCTCCGGAGCAACATTGTACCAGTAGTTAGGGTCTCAGTCCAGTTCATAAAGGCCTATTTCAAGCATAATGTCTTGAAGGGAAGGGCTGTTCTAAGTGCCCTAAAAGTCACCAGCATTTGTACAAACTGGTCTCAGGAGAAATATCTAAAGTTCAGGTATTTCTTACTTGAGACACCAGGGACACATTCTACCCCCTCACGTTTTTCTCAGTCCTGTAGTTTCTTTCCAGCTTCTTATTCCCAAACCAAGTGTTGAATCCTTCAACAATTTTTTAGATTTGCATTTTAGAAATAGTGAGAAATAACTCTCTGGTTTTCCTTTCTTCTGTTCTACTTTTGACTCTATAAGGAAAGATGAAGTCTCATGAAGACTTCATTTGTGTTTTAGAGGAGAAATAGATGAACTCTTTGAGCATAGTACATTGGTGGGGAACAGGGAGGCTCTGGACCTGGGCTAGAGTCGGGAGTGAGGTCAGGAGAGAGGAGGGGAGGAGGGAATGTTGAGTTCACTCATTATTGTTAGTCTGTGCCCTGTTAGACTACGTTCTGGATAGTGTCAAGCAAACAAGCAAGAAGATGAGGGCTGGACTGGGTGGAGGATGGAACATTGTCAGAGGAGGTAGCTGGGGAGGTAGAGTGTGGAGCTAGTGGCCGAGACTGTTGTAGAGGTGGCTGTTGGCACTTAAAAGCTGTTGGCACTTAAAAGGCATGTTTTCTGCTCACAGTTCCCCTTTTGGCCTCCTGAGTAGCAAGTGCTCTTGAATGGTTGTAGTCTGATCCTGAGTGTTGAGGACCTCAACTCTTTTTTTTTTTTCTTTTTTGAGTTGGAGTCTCACTCAGTCGCCCAGACTGGAGTACAGTGGCCGCTCCTGGCCACCGCAGCCTCGCCCTGCTGGGCTCCGGCGATCCTTCCGCCTCAGCCTTCCAAGTAGCTGGAACTACAGGCGCGTGCTACCACACCCGGCTAATTTTTTGATTTATTGTAGAAATGAGGTCTCGCCAAGTTGCCCAGGCAGGTCTTGAACCCGCGGGCTCAGGCAATTCACTCACCTCGGCCTCCCAAAGCACGGGATTACAGGCTGAGCCACCAAGCCCGGCCGAACTCAACTTTTCTTATGATACACCTTTTATATTTGATTTTAGAAACATGTCTACTTCTTACGGAGGTGATAGGAGAGTGCTGCAGAGTCTCCAGGCAGTGTGTGATGCTAGATGGCTGGTGGTATGTGGTGCCTTAGACAGCCAATGACTTTCATTGTTTATCCTGAAATCTGCAGAGTACAAAGAGCAAATTACATAAGCGTCAGGAAGATTGAATTTATGTTTTAAAAATTGGAAGCTGCAGTTCTGTGGTGTTTACTTTAGGAGCGGTTTTATTTTATTTTATTTTTTTTAGTTGGAGTCTCACACTGTCGCCAAGGCTAGAGTGCAGTGGCATGCTTATGGCCACCATGGTCTCGACCTGCTGGGTTCAGACGATCCTTCTGCCTCAGCCTTCCAAGTAGCTGGAAAATATAGTTGTGTGCCACCACACTCAGCTGATTTTTTGATTTAATAGATGAGGTCTCTCCAAGTTGCCCAGGCTGGTCTCGAACTCGTGGTTTCGGGCAATCCTTCTACCTCAGCCTTCCAAGTAGCTGGAAATACAGGCGTGTGCCACCAGGCTCAGCTAATTTTTTGATTTAATGTATAGAGGAGGTCTCACCAAGTTGCCCAGGCTGGTCTCGAACCCTTGGGTTCAGGCAATCCTTTCACCTTGGCCTCCCAAAGTGCTGGGATTATAGGCGTGAGCGACCATGCCTGGCTTCAGTTTATTTTAAATTGATTTTTTTTTCTTTATGCCACAAATTTTAATGCAGCAGTAAATGAATCTTCCAGTTTTGTGAAAGAAAATATTGTCACAGATATATAACTTATATAAAAAATACTTAAGCATTTTTAGGACTTTCCCAAACTTAGGAAGCCTTCCATAATGGACTTTAAAAACTTGTGTATGCATTTCTTCATATAAAAGGACAACTTATTGCACATTGTTCTAGCACAGTGTTTTTGAGTAAAGTAGGTACTTTTTTTTTTTTATTTGAGTTGGAGTCTCACTCTGTCGCCCAGACTGGAGTGCAGTGGCCACTCCCGGCCATCGCAGCCTCGACCTGCTGGGTGCCAGCGATCCTGCCACCTTAGCCTTCCAAGTAGCTGGAACTATAGGCGCGCACTACCATGCCTGTCTAATTTTTTATTTATTGTAGAGATGAGGTCTCACCAAGTTGCCCAGGCGGGTCTCGAACCCACGGGCTCAGGCAATCCACTCACCTCAGCCTCCCAAGGTGTGGGATTACAGGCAAGTAGGTACTTAAAATATGCTTGTAGAATGAATGAATCTTAAAACATGCTTGTAGAATGAATGAATCTACTTGTGAGAGGTAGTGAGTTGATTTAAATCAACCAGATAAAAGAAAAACACTAGCAGTCATCTTAAATCTGTAATGATCTTTCAAGCCCTATTTGTGGCCAGTTACAATATATGCTCTGGTTTAGCTTCTTTTTTCTTTTATTAATAAGTAGTAAAAGGGATTGTTTTAAGCATTTTTCTCTTTATGTTGTGTTATAAAATATTGCCAAAGTGAAGAATAGACAATTTATCTTATTTTTCAGGTCATGTACGACATCCCTAAGGCAAATCAATAAAATTATTGAACAACTTAGCCCTCAAGCTGCCACCAACAGAGACATCAACAGGAAACTAGATTCTGTAAGACGACAGAAGTTTAATAAGGTGATTCAAGATATTGTATTAAGTATTGCATTTTTTAAAAGGTCATCATTTAGGTTCTTTTAATAACTTAGGAAATATTCTGAGTAATAATTATAAGATGTGAAGCAAATAGTTACAGCTGATAAATTTTTGGTTGCTTTTATATGTTTAATCTTTAATCTATTTTCTTATAATATCTTCGGTTTTACAGCATTTTTTTTTTTTTGAGTCAGAGTCTCACTCTGTTGCCCAGGCTGGAGTGTAGTGGCATACTCATGGCTACCGCAGCCTTGACCTGCTGGGCTCAGGCGATCCTTCTACCTCAGCCTTCTAAGTAACTGGAACTACAGGCGTGCGCTCCCATGCCCAGCTTATTTTTTTGATTTATTGTAGAGATGAGGCCTCCCCACGTTGGCCAGGCTGGTCTCGAACCCCTGAGCTCAGACAGTCCTCTCGCCTTAGCCTCCCAAAGTGCTGGGATTACAGTCTTTAGCCACCTCGCCTGGCCTGTACAGCATTTTTAAAGACACACACACATCTATCCATCCACCCATATACCCACTATCTGTACACACACAGATGCTCCTTAACTTCTGATGGGGCTATGCCTCAATAAACCCATTGTAATTGAAAATGCATTTAATGTTCCAATAAACCTGTCTTAAAGTAAAAAACTTATCAAGTCATAACATCACTAAGTCCAGAGGCTCCTCAGCTTACAATGACGTTGCATCCTGATAAACCTATTGTAAAGGTGAAAAATTGCAAGCCAAACTATTGTAATTGTGGATCATCTGTACATTTGAGGATAAATTCTTTTTTGGAGTTGCATGCCTCCTCACTCATTAGCTCTTCCATAGTCTTCCTTGCTTCACCCTTTCTTTCCCCCAGCTTGGCTTCTGTTGGGCATGCTGGCCTTTCAATCTTCTGGTCTCGTGTGAACTCAGGTGCTTAGCTCCTCCTTACTCTGTGTCTATTCTGCTTTCTGATGAGGCAGCCATTGCCCCTCATGTACTCCTGTTTGGTGTTCTGAGAGCTGGTCCTTCCTCCCCTTCTCAGGCATGATAGTTAGCACCCAGCCACACTGGGGCTGACCTAGGTTTGGAGGACTTAGGGGTAGGGGATATCTGTTACATAGGATGTGATTTTTATGAGGTTTGAAACCTTTTTTTTTTGGATTCATGTGCAGCTTTGTGAGGTTTAAAACATATTTTTAGGATTTATGTACCCACTTATAAAAATACATAGCAGTAGATAGAAATGACTAGTTTTGATCATTTGAGTTCTGCCCTCCAAAATGACTAACAGATGTCCTTGTGCTTACAGTTGATTCCTTGCATCTTTTCTGTAAGCTCTCCTGGGGGGTGTACATAGACTCAGTTCATGTGGCTCTCCTTTTCCTTTCTAATTACCTACCAGTCTGTTGTCTGCATTGTCTTCTCTCACTTACTCCCAGAATAGCATCCCAAAGGTCAGAGCGAACAGTAGGTTTAAGGCAGTTGAGGTCTTCCCAAATCAGAGAGTAGACATCTGGCCTTCTGTGAGAGCATGTGAAATTGATGTGCAGAGACCTTCTCTGACCTTTTTGGGTTTTGGTGGGCTGGGATTTCAAGGGCAGAGAGGCTAAACTTTAGGCTACTTAAGGTCCTAGTCTAACTTAATTAGGTATTCCTATCTTTCTTTAGCAACTCTTTGATGTTTAGAGATAGGCTATTCAGAGGGGAAATATCTTAAATGGGATGTTGCTGAGTGAAAGACTGAGAAAAAAATAAATTGCAAGTCATTACAGTGTGGTGTTTATGTTCAGGATGTCCCCTTTCCCCAAACTCATATTTGGAGTTGAAACATTCTTCACCTGGGAAACATAAACCTACAGGCCCAGTTAATTGAGGAAGCCCCAGGAGGGCCATATATCCAAGTTCTGGTGAGGCTGAAGAAAACAAGACAAGAAGGAGTCTGAGGTGGGGAGTATAAAGAGGCATAGCAAAATATATTTTTCTTGTTAAAATTTTTAAATTTAAAAATTTTTTTTGAGACAGGATTGTTTTGTCATCCAGACTGGGGTGCAGTAGTACAACCTTGAACTCCTGGGCTCAAGCAGGCCTCCTGCTTCAGCCTCCCAAATAGTTGGAACTATGGACATGCCTGCACACCTGGCTAAATTTTTTACTTTTTTTGTAGAAGTGGAGTCTTGCTATGTTGTCTAGGCTGATCTTGAACTCCAGGCCTCAAGTGATCCTTCTACCTCAGGCTCCCAAAGTGCTGAGATTATAGGTTTGAGTCACTATGCTTGGTAACAAAATATATTTCTCTTTTAAGGTTTTATGATTGGGTAGAATGCTATAAAGAATAGTCATAAATACGGTCTGTTGTCAAAGGGGATTGACTTTTTAACTATTTGAACCTGTGTTTTTTTATTTCTTATCCCTATGGCCTGTTGACCTCTGTGGCCCATTGGCTGCTAAGGTCAGAAATACAGAGACATTTAGCGATTTACCCAGTTTGTAATGGGGGAAACGAAGTAAAACAATTCCACTTCCCAAGTCAGCAAACGTGTGCATAAGTGCTCGGGCATGTAGATGATGGCTTAGTCGGCAGAGTGTGTGGGTCTGGAATGCCTACCTGCTGTAAATGCTCGAGGCCCCTTTGCTGCTATAACATTGGTAGTAGCTCAAATAAGGTTCTCTATAGTAATAGCAATCTATGGAATGTCTGTCTTCTTTTTACTTTACTTTTAATTAAAGCTTTAAAATTTTGTAACACAGTCTTTTGTATTTAACAATAAATCACTTCATTCCTGTTTTCTGCATTCGATATTTGCCATTCAAGGAACAGCAACTAAAAAAGATCACTGCAAAACAAAAACGTCTCCAGGCCATTCTTGGAGGAGCAGAGGTAAAAGTTGAACTAGATCATGCCAGTCTGGAGGAGGAGGATGCAGGTGAGGATGCTGTGAGCTGTTTCTCTGTGTTCTTAAATTGATGCCTGATGCCTATAGTCCATGGAGGGTGTCTCTTTAGTCTTTGCCTGGGTTTTGAGAAAAATACATTTTTTTGCCATAGTGTCAAGGAAGATTTAGGAAAATTTTGTTCTGTACATCTGCAGAGCCAAATCTCTCTGAAGAGAATGAAAATACATTTTTAACACATTTCACTGGAGGCTGCTGGTCCTCATTTATTATTACACTTAATAAATTGGAAATCTTAGACATTCTCATAGAGTTAATTTGATTAAGATAACTGACATCCTGATTGAATTACATGTTGGAAGCCCAGCATCATCAATCCACATTTGTAGAATTGCTCTCTTGTGTCCTTAAGGAGCATATTTGGCAGGCTTTCCAAGCATCAGTTCTGTTGTTTAAGAAAAGGCATCTTCATTCAGGTTATACTGTGGCCATGATTTCATTTACATTACTGTCCTAGATGATTGTCTACTGGAAAATGTTTTCGGAAAATGCATAAGCTCTGGAAATAAGTATCTTTGTAGTCATTTTGTGTGTGTGTGTGTGTGTGTGTGTGTGTGTGTGTGTGTGTGTGTAGACATTGTTGGTAGCTGCTCAGACATTTACTACTTGAAATATAGACTAAAGCTTTTTATTATTTAAACTTTCCAAGCAAACATTTTCTACTAACTCCAGAAGTTTATTCAATAAGACAAGAGAATTGTTATGCAGAATTGAAGCAAAAGAAAACATATTAATATGTGGTTTTAAAATTCAGTCTCTCAGAATTCAGTAGGCCTACAACCTGTGCTTTCTGTTGCGGTGGTACCATGTTTCTCATTGTTTCTGTCTGACTGTCTCAAACCTGCTGCTGTCTCTTACCTCTTACTGCTACTTTGGTACAATTTTGCTCAGGATTTCTGTTTACCTCCTGAATCCAAAAGCCCCTTTCATTCTTGTCTTACTCTAGCAGCTGACATTTCCTTTGCCTTCTGGGGTCCCCATCTACAGACTTTCCTTTTGGCTTTCTTACTACTTCTGTTTAGTTATTTCTAGCCTCATCCTAAATGCTGATTGTTTCTGAGGATTTCTCCTAAGCCCTCTTCTTATTCTACTACCTCTCCTTAAATAATCTCAACCACTCGCAATGACTTTTGCAGCCACTTAGGTTCTAGTGTCTTACAAATCTTCGGACCTCTGGCCTTGCCCTTTTTTGAGTTCCAGCTTCCTACTATATCTCTCCCTCTGGGCATCAGCCAGCACTTGAGACTCCTGGTCTCTTATTGCCCTCTTTCCTTCATGCTGTTTGGGGAGGCAGTAGAGCGAAGTGTCCAAGAGCCCAGGCCTTGTGACCCCAGTTCTACCTTGTCTAGAGACGACCCTTGGCTATACTCCTTACCTTTTAAAGTCTCTTTGAACCCAAGCAGTAGGCAGAAGTGTGATAGCCCTCTACTTCTGCTCACAAAGGATCATTTGACCTCAGGAGTTCGAAGCTGCAGTGAGCTATGATGTTGTGATTGTACCACTGCATTCTAGCCTGGGTGACAGAGCGAGACTGTCTCCAAACAATCAATCAATAAACAAACAAAACTCCCTAAATTCCTGAAACTTTGGCTTTGCCACTAATGATCTGGGAGGAGATGAGTGCCCTCACTTTCATCTTTTCTATTACACATTGTACTGGACAGTATAGTAACAGAAGAAAGAAGTAAAACACATAAGAATTGAAAAAAAAATAAAACCATCATTGTTTACAGAATATGTAATTGTTTATATAGAAAATCCAAAAGAATCAATGGACCATTGGAACTATTACATGAACTTAGCAATATCATTGAATATAAGGTCAATCAATACATAAAAATCAGTCATATTTCTATGCTAGGAAAATTAATAAAGAACTCAATTACAATAAAAAATAAATACCTGGAAGTAAATCTTAGCAAAAAATGTTTTCTGCGATATTTTCTACATTAAAAACTACAAAATGCTATTGAAAAATTAAGACCCATGTAAATGTGAGATAGATACCTTATTGTAAATATGTCAGTTCTTATCCAGCTATTGTTTCAATGTAACCAAATATAAATTTTAGGGTTTTTTGAGGGGAATGGTGCAGGGTAGAAAGTATAGAGTAATGGTGTGGGAGCATTAACAAACTGATTCTAAAATTTGTATAAAGATGCATTGGGCCAAGAGTAGCCAAGACAATCTTGAAGAAGAACAAAATACCAAGACCTATTGTAAGCTATAGTAATTATGATAGTGTAGTATTGGCACAAAGTTAAACTGGTAGAGCAATAGGACAGAATAAAGGGTTCAACAAACAGACCCACTTATACACGTATATCACTTAATTTATGACAAAGGTGATAGGCAGAGCTGTGGAAAAGAATGATTTTTTCAATAAATGGTGCTGTGTTAATCCATATGACAATGAAATTAAGGCCAGGGGCTTTGGCTCATGCCTGTAATCCCAGCACTTAGGAAGGCTGAGAAAAGAGAATTGCTTGAACTCAGGAGTCTGAGATCAGGCTAGGCAACATAGTGAGACTTCATTTCTTCAAAACAATTAAAATTAGCTGGGTGTGGTGGTATATGCCTGTAGTTCCAGCTACTCTGGAGGCCTCAGGAAACTGAGGCAGAAGGATCACCTGATCCCATGAGTTCAAGACTGTGGTGAGCTTGATTGTGCCCCTGCATTCTAGCTTGGGTGACAGAGTGAGACTCTGACTCAGAAAAATAAAAAAATGAAATTAATCTTGACCCATTACACTATATACAAAAATAAAATCCAAACAGTTTATAGACTTAATTGTGAATGGTAAAACAAACCTTTTAAAACAACATAGGAAAAACATTTTCATGATCTTGGGGTAGGCAAGGACTTACACAGGACACATGCTCACTGTAAAGGAAAAGATTTGTTAAATGGATTGTGTTAAAACTAAGAACTCCTATTTGCCAAAAAGATAGCATTTAGAGAGTTTTTGAAAAGACAAGCTGTAGAGTGGAAGAAGATATTTGCAATAATTGTGTGAATCAGTTGTTGAATCCAGAATGTACAAAGAACTCCAAGAAATCATTTTTTTAAATGGCAAAGAAAAATGGGCAAAAGACTTGAACATTTTCTACACAAAAGAGGCTGTCCAAAAGAGCAATCTATAAAAGGTGCCCTATTTCTTTAGTTGTCAGGGAAGTGCAAATCACAGCTACAATATGGTACCACTGCATGCTTACTAGCATAACTGATATGGAGTTGCAAGAATATGTACCAGTTGGAGCTCTCAGACATGGCTGGTGGGACTTTGGAAAGGTCCACTTTGGAAAGCTGTTTGACAGTGCAAGCAAAAGCTTAATATATCCACAGCATTCTATATTACCAAAGGATGTGTTCCAGAATATACATAGCAACATTAGTCCTAGAAACCTAAACTTAGAAGCCACCCAAATCTCCATCAACAGTATAACAGAAAAATTGTAGTATTGTCATATAATAGAATACTACTAACAGTGTGAAAATTGACAAACTGAACTACATTCAACAATAAGTGGTCAAATCACAAGAATAATGTGGAGCAAAAGAAGGCAGACATAAGAGCATAAACATTTCCATTTATATAAGAGTTCACAACTAGGCACAACTTGTCTAAAGGAGTCAGGACTGCCTTTATCTTGGGGATAGTAAAGACTGGGAGGTGGTCTGAAGGGCATATCTGGGAGTATTAGTAATTCCTGTCACTTGACCTGGGTGTGTCTATTGATCTGTACTTCCAGGAAGAACCCTTCATGTAGGGCAGGACAACTGTGCTTTCTTGGCCGGCACTTTTGTGGTCTGTGAGGTCAGCAGCTGTGGGTGTATGTTTTTTTCAGAATATTCATTGAGCTGAATACTTATGATTTGTGTACTTTCTGATGTAAATTTTATTTCAGTACAACTTTAATGAAAAACTGGATGTGCTATCACTTGGTAGCCATTAGTCACATGTGGCTATTGATCACTTGCATTCTAGATTGCATTTAGATTTTAGAATATGAATTCCTTTCTGTGAAGCTTTGGGTCTTTTGGTATTTTGGCTATATGGTAAAGTAATTTTGCTTGAGATTAATTTCAACTAACGAAAGAAAGATGATTTGTGGGTCACTTTACACTTATGGCATAACTTCCAGTTTTAGTTTATGTCTTCAAGTTAGTTAACTTTACATAGATAATATAGTACTCTCCAATAGACCTTTTTGTAATAATGAAAATGTTCTCTGTGTTGTCATTTTGGCAGCCATTAGTCACATGTAGCTATTGAGCACTTGAAATATGGCAAATACAACTGTGGAACTGAATTTTTAACTTAATTTAAGTTTAAATAGCTACAAGTATCTTTAACCATTGTGCTGGGCAGTGTAGAGCTAACATTTATGTTTTTCCTATTTGGGTACATGGTGATGACCCTGGGATGTCTATTTTCAATCTCTTGAATTTAAGTCCATCTGGTTGTTGGTGTTAGCAGTGACATAGAAACTTGGAGAGATTACTTCCTCATGGGCTACTCCTCAGTTGATAAGGAAGCATAGCTAAGTTTATCTGTTTATAACTAATTTACATAGTAATATGTCTATCTTTGGATTAGCATAGAGTATATTTATAGTATGATATTTGGCAAAAATTACTGGTAAGTCACCTTTTTGAACAGGAATATATTAAATGTAGCATGATACTATAATGTATTTTACACTATCCTTCATGTATAATATGCTTTAGTATACTGGCAATGTGTCTTTTATGAGTTATCTGTAGGTGCCTACTACTTAGTGGAAGAATATTTATTTCTGCTGTACTCTTGGGAGGTTTATGCTAGTGTCAAATGCATTGTCATTGCTCTTTCAGAGCCTGGGCCATCCTGTCTCGGCAGCATGCTCATGCCTGTCCAGGAGGCTGCCTGGGAGGAGCTCATCCGCACTGGCCAGATGACACCTTTTGGTACCCAGATCCCTCAAAAACAGGAGAAAAAGCCTAGAAAAATAATGCTTAATGAAGCATCAGACTTTGAAAAGTATTTGGCAGATCAAGCAAAACTGTCTTTTGAAAGAAAGAAGCAAGCTTATACTAAAAGAGCTGCTAGAAAAGCTCCAGCCACTGTCACTTCTGAGTTGACCCCAACACAAAATAAAAACAAACCAAACAAGAAAACCAAAGTTCTCTCAAAAACAGATAAACGCTTGAAAAAGCACATCAAGAAACTCCAGAAGAAGGCTCTGCAGTTTCAGGGGAAAGTGGGATTGCCAAAGGCAAAGAAACCATGGGAGTCAGATATGAGGCCAAATGCAGAGGGAGACTCTGGGAGTGAAGAGTCGGAATACTTCCCGTCGGGGGAGGATGAGGAGGACGATGTGGAGGGGACGAGGGCAGACCTATCTGGAGATGGCACCAGCTGTGAACTGAGGCCTGTGCGCAAGAGCTGCAAACGGCAGAAGAAAGTCCTGGTACAGGAGATTGATGATGACTTTTTCTCAAGTTCCGGAGAAGAAGCTGAAGCCACAGGAGGAGGAGGTCAAAAAGTAGCGAGATGCCGAGATGATGGAGATGAAGATTATTATAAGCAGCGGTTAAGGTCAGTCTGCAGGGATTGTAAGCAAATGGTACTACTTGATTTTAGGCAGCAGTTTTATTAATATGTAAGCATTTTAGATCCAGCTCAACATACTAGATCCTGTTTATGCAGAGGTTGGACTTCCTGAAGACTTAACTTACAAAACCATTGGGGCCTCTGAGTCCTTAATGGAGCTGGCCCCAAATGCTTGTACTTTAGGTCTTTATTTGGATTTGGAACCAAGTCAAAGACGGAAAGCTTAAGGAAAGGTAGGGAAAAGAGGCATACAGAGGACTGAGCATGAACTGTGTGAACTTTACACTGAGAGTAGTCACCCATAATATGTATCAGGAAAAAGAAAAGGGAGAGTTCTGTCATGAATACTGGGTGGGGATTTTTTATTTTGTTTTTCCTTTTGAAGCAGAGTAGTAATTTTAGAGAACTTTCCTTTAAAAAAAAAAAGCTACTACTGAAATTTGGGATTTGAATTCTTCTTTGTCTTGAGGAAATAGTCACCTTCATAATTATAAACCACTGTCGTGCCAAAATTGTATTTTGTAGGCACTGCATAACTATCTTCACTGCCATTTTTTATGGTAGAGACTGACTTTGGCTTTTATCTCCATGACTTTGCCAGTATATGATGGAAGTGGGATAAAAGAGAAGGTGAACATGTGAAACATGAAGTCAGAATTGCATGTCACCACACTTTTTCTAATATCCAGGATAAACAATCTGTGCATTGCGGGCCTCCCTGTGGGGTCCCACTGAGCACTGTACTACAGCTGCACCTCAGGTCTTGTGAGTCAGCTTGCTAGGAGCTCTAAGAAGTCAAAGGGAATAAGAAATCTCCTTACTTTTTAAACATTTAATAGTTGAGTGACCTTCTTCCCAGTCTGCAACAGTTTTTTCTTATTTCTCAAGGTGGGGAAACCTAGTTTCTTGTATTTACTGTAGCTTTCCACTGGCCTTCATGAGTGAAACTTGACCTGATATTTTTTCTTCTGTTACTTAGAACTTCTCATGACCCCTGTCAGTGAGCCACACACATTCCATAACCTTTTCAAAATAGATGCAGCAGAATTCTTTACAAAAATAATTTGAGGACCTGTGACTTAAATCCAGTTCTTTAGAGGTGTTACACTCACATTCTAGTAGTACCTTATGTGCAAACTTATAGTTGAGGACTGGCTTATAGTTGTCATTTTTCACCACAGCACTAGTTTCTATGCATACTTAATACCTGTAAAGTTGTTGAGGAATATTGCCCAATACTTTGAACAGTGAGCAGTGTCAGACTTTTTCTTAACAACTGTAAAGAATTAATAAAAGTGTTAATGTCAACATATTGATTATAAATAGAGCAGTATATTCTTCCCATTAGGTTGGGTCAATATTAAATATATTTTAGATATATCAGTATTTTGATCAAGAGCAATTTATTTTGATTGAATTTTAAATATGGGTTTAGTTTAATTTCATGGCAATAAGTTTTTCTTAATAATATTAAGATTGTAAGACAATTTATTATTTCCAAAGTCATATCATAAGCCAATATTTTGCTAAAGTTACAATAAAATCTCAAATGAATTTCAGAAATACCAATAACTCTTAATTGCCACCAAAATACGATAGCTCTTAAAATTTTATAGCTGCAGTTATTAAGGCTGTTAAGCTGCAGACATCCACATTGAAATGTTTATAATACATCTCCTTTGGTGCACTTTGGATTGGGGGATGTTAAAAAAAAAGTGCTCAGGATTGAGAAGCATATTAAGAAGATGTTAGAACTACCAGTCACTATATTTTGTTACTTGTTGCTGGTTTTTGTAGACAGATTGAAATGTTAATGGTATTCCCTTGAGGAGGAAAAAAACCCTTTAGGATTACTTATCTTAGCAAGGTTTGACGATGGATGATGACAATAAAGTCATATAGATTATAGAGCAGAAAATGAGTTTTTCTTAGTGGTTAGATTTTAGGAACAGTACCCAGAATAGGCACCTTTTATGGAATGTAACACTTTTTACTGAGGTTAACTCTTGTTAATGATAATGCTCTTTTAAACTCTTAGAAGTGAGAATAGGTAACTCCTAGACATCCCATCCCCTTTATTCTTTCAGTTGAGGGAGTTATAGGCCTTGCATTGACTCTAGGTTTGTCCTAACTAGGTGTCTCTGTTTTAACTGATGCTTACTGGGAATTTCATGTCAAGCTTTTTCTACATCATAACTTTTTCTGGAACCTGAGCAGTAGCGCTCAGGATCCTGTTTTCTTTGATTTGGCCCAAAACCTCTCAGCTCAGTCTCTGTAGTTGTAATTAAAAAAAAAAATCCGTGTCTTTTCCCTTCCCATGTTTCTCCTGAGAACTACACTGCATATGGGGGCCAGCGCCTCAGTGGTGTTCCCCAGGTTTTCACACCCTTTCATGACATGCAGGATGGATGAGTTACTGTTTAGAAGTAAGCGTTCTGTCAATTCTTATTCATGTCAGTGGTATGCAGGTCTTATGAAACATATATTATTTTTTCATTTTAATTTTGTGCTGGCAGAGTTTCCATTAGGGCATGGTTCTTGGTTTGGCGCTTTCTTGTCCTTTTTTTTTGAGTTGGAGTCTCATTCTGTTGCCCAGGCTGGAATGCAGTGGCATGTTCATGGCTACTGCAGCCTTGACCTACTGGACTCAGGTGATCCTTCCACCTCAGCATTCCACGTGCTGAGACTATAGGCATGTGCCTTCACACCCAGCTAGTTTTTTGATTTATTGTAGAGATGAGGTTTTGCCAAGTTGCCCAGTCTGGTCTTGAACTCAGGCAATTCACCCTCTTTGGCCTCCCAAAGTGCTGGGATTATAGGCATGCACCACTGCACCCGGCTGGAGTTTCCTAAAATATACTGCTGCTTTAGAAATCATGGGCCTGAGAGCTCCAGGAACCAAATAAAGGCAATAGAAATAATGTACCTATAGTGTTTGAATGATGTCTGTTCCTGGTGAGCACCTGCATGCCACTTACCTAGTCAAGGCTGTCCAGCCATAACAGCCTAGAGTGACCCCGAAGACCAACCATTTCATGTGCATCTTTCCCTTTCAGGATGGTAAAGATCAGGGTGCTTGTCCTCCCAGTTCTTGTGATCTCATTGTTGTTGATTCACTTCTCAGTTTACATATGTGAGGTCAACTCTCATTGCTTCTTCTTTGCTTCCATGACAGGAATGCATGTCTACATTGCAGGACTAGCCTCAAAAGTCTTTGGCAAAGAATCTGCAGTCTGCTAGTGGACATAGGCACAAATAAGACCTATCCAACTATAAAGGGAATAATGAATTCAGACTGAGGTACTGGGGGAGACTTTATGGAGGAGATTCATCCAGTGCAGAACCCTGTCTATTGGGTAGTCAGATCTGTTGATAGGGATGCAGGTTAGAAACTTTGCATATTTGTCCCAAAATTCCAGGTACACCATTGAGCGGGAAACAACTTGCTTTCTTTGTAGGTACATTAATATCCTCAGGGGTCTCATTTGGACTAACCTGGAGATTGATATAATAGCCATGGTGTTCAGAGAGGCCCGGTTTCTAAGCTGTCCATGTCAAGTCAGGGAGGGCACGTGGACTTCACCTAACTGGCCAACTCTGGTCTTTGGGAAGTGGTAGTCTGTTCAGGGAAGATTGAGGCCCTGTTTGGGTTGGCTGGGAAAGAACGTCACAGTCCCTTAATGATGTCTCTCATGTGCATGGGAAGGGGGGCAGGGAATCAATAGTATTTGTGCCAGCTATTTGCCAACCTTGAGACAGTAAGACAAAAAATATCATAGACTCTTGCCTCTTTCCTCAGCAGTGGTCAGCATGTCTTGGTCAAACTGTGGGGCATAGATCAGATTGCATCCTCAGTGAGAGGATGCTCTTCCAACAGAGTTTTGTCTCTCCTCACTGGCAGGACTAGGGCTAGCATTTATCATTTGACTTAAAAAAATTCTTTATTTTTGTTTTCATTTGCCAGTGGTTATTATTTAAGTTGCTACCCTCACTGCCTCTACTTCCTTGGCAATGAGCTTAGACTAAAGCAAAGTTTCGCAGTCCACAGACTGTGCAGAGTCACTGGAAGCCCCAGTACTGGGGATGCTGATTTGGGAAGTCTAACCTGGGTTCACTGGGCAGTACTTTTAAAAACCTTTTCCAGGTAATTCTGATGCACTGTCAGAAACTATCAGAGGTATATAAGTAGTTCTTATATACTTTTCCCTTCTGAGGATGTAGCTTTTGACTGATTCAATTTGTATATCAGTTTTTCTAAAGTCCTCTTTTATGTACCCTGCACAATTGTATTTATTACAGGAGAGACCCTCAACTAAGTGAACCTCAACTAAATGCTATATATCATAGATAATCTGGTTTTTATCAGGACCTGTGCATCAGAATCACCTGGGGAACATCTTCAGAATGCAGATGCCTGGGATCAGCCAGGAGGGGAGGAGCTGGGCACTGCACTTGTTCTCCCAGTGATTCTGTGTACACCCATGCTCCCACTTTTGAGTCGAGGTTGGTGGCATTCTTCCTGGCCATAGGCCTTATTTAGAAATAACTATGTCCCTGTTTAGGAGACTTGTAGAAATTAGAAATCATTGTTGGTAAGGATGCTGTGGTTTGAGAATGTAAGCTTTTTTCTCTATTTAGCCCAAAGTCAGCAAATAATTGCCTCTGAGATAAATTCTCAACCCACTTCCACCCCAGATCCGTAAAACACAGTAGAGAGTTCAGAAACAGACTCTTCAGTAGGCAGTGCCTGAGTCTCCTCAGATGACCTGGTACTTTGGGCCAAGCTGCTGAGCTCACAGCCTGAAATGGATTTAGGTTGGTATTTCGAATGGTTTGAAGGCTCCCTCCATCATTTAGCACTTCTGGTGATTCCCTGGATTGTGAAAAAATGGTAACAATATTAAGATGAAAAAAAGATCTCTATTTTTATGTTTTTATTTTTTTATATGTCATTCTAGTCTTTGATTCTATGCATCTATACCTTT